CCTATTGATAAAGATATTTAAATAATGTTTTATATAACTTTCTCAATATTTTTATGTATTTTTCATTAGTTTTACCTTTGGATATTGTTTAAGAATGATTATATAAATATTTACATGCCTAGAAATGTATAAAAATTGGCATATTTATTAACTTTGAACCCCAATAACTTTTTATGGGGGTGAGACCGCCACGAACTTTTTATGGTACAGTGGTGGGGAGACCTCCTCTTTCGATCCCCCCCCAACCCCACCCCCGAAGATTAGAAAGATATCACATCTTTAGTGAACGTTTCCGACTTATTTAAGATACTGACATTTATTTAGAATGTTATTTTGAAATGAGATATTGCTCCGATTAAGGAAAAGAAGCTTTCTTTTGAAGAGGAAAACGAAAAAAATAAACTGTTTATGGTACACGTGTTTCCCCTAAAATTTGTAACGGTGTATTTTGGCGTCTTATTTCAAATGTAAAATCATTTTGTGTATTTATGTTTCGCATAAAACCGAAGCAAACCATCTCACCATGTTTTATTAGGTGCTCTATTTTGACGAAAAATATAAAACATATAGAACGTAATCGTTTGGATCTATAAATCCTCATACTTAATTATGCTATTGCATGATACTGTAAGATATACAATTAAACGAGGTTTTACGAATTGTATTGCGGATTATGGTATGAATAAGGATTCGTTCTTATCTTTATAGGTATCTGAAACAATAAGAATATACATACTTATTTGGCAAACATTTCACCTTATTAGTTTCGAAACATTTTTAACACGTACCAAAAATTTGAAAAGTTGGTACATTCGATTAAAATTTGGTATAACTACAAAACGTCTTCACCAGCATTGATTCAAATACAATTAAAAATACTTACTGTCAATATAAAAGAATGTCCAAGTACTTTGTATACATATTAGACAATTTTTGTTTTCAACTGTTTTTAACCACATTTTTATTTATGACGAAAATTGTTCGAAAAACAGAATTTCTCAACTGATAGTTATTGTTATTCCTGTTTAACTCCGAAAATTCTGGACTAAAATAAACTTGTACCATTTATCTCAACGTTTTGTGAACTATCCCGAGTAGAAATTATTTTTGGGAACCGATTGGGTCCCGATTGGGGTTTCCCAAATTTAAATAGCGTCCCAAATGGGATACCCAACCGGTTCCCTATTGGAAAAGTAACGCTTTCCCCATCTGAGAACCAGTAGGGAAATCCCTAATTGAAAAATTTAGGGAAATTCCAAATGAATTTTTATTTTTAAATGTGTTGAAAATTTAATATATATA